GACTTTGAGTGAGAATTACGGGATTTTGGGTGGGAATTACGGGAATTTGGGTCGGGAATTCTGGGAATTCTGGGATTTTGGGTGGGAATTTGGGGATTTTGAGTGAGAATTACGGGATTTTGGGTGGGAATTCCAGGATTTTGGGTGGGAATTTTGGGATTTTGGGTGAGAATTTTGGGATTTTGGGTGAGAATTTTGGAATTTTGGGTGGGAATTCGGGATTTTGGGTTGTGAATTTTGGGAATTCAGGTGGGAATTCCAGCATTTGGGGTGGGAATTTCGGGATTTTGGGTGGGAATTTCGGGATTTGGGTCGGGAATTTCGCGATTTTGGGTGGGAATTTCGGGAATTTGGGTCGGGAATTCCGGGAATTCTGGGATTTTGGGTGGGAATTCCAGGATTTTGTGTGGGAATTTGGGGATTTTGGGTGGGAATGCCGTGATTTTCCCAGGAATTCCGGGATTTCCCCACCTTGACGACGTCGGGCTGGGGGTCCTGCAGGTGCAGCAGGAGCGGGACGAGGCTGTTGAGGATCTGATCCCGGAAAAGTTGGGAATGGGAGGAGCGGGAGAGGTTCCCGAAGAGGAGGATGGAGCAGCGCCGCAGCTCCCGCCGCTCCTGCAGCCGGAAAAACGGGAAAAGCGGGAAAATCCCGGGATTTGGGAGGCGGGAATTCCCAAATCTCATCCCCAATCCCGTCCCAAATCCCAAATCCCAAATCCCAAATCCCAAATCCCATCCCCTCATCCCAAATCTGATCCCAAATCCCAAATCCCAAATCCCAAATTCCATCCCCTGATCCCAAATCCCAAATCCTATCCCAAATCTGATCCCAAATCTGATCCCAAATTCCATCCCTGATCCCAAATCCCAAATCTGATCCCAAATCTGATCCCAAATCCCAAATCCCAAATCCCAAATCCCATCCCAAATCTGATCCCAAATCCCAAATCTGATCCCAGATTCCTTCCTCTGATCCCAAATCTGATCCCAAACCCCAAATCTGATCCCAAATCTGATCCTGAATGCCGTCCCAAAATCCAAATCCCATCCCAAATTCCATCCCCTGATCCCAAATTCCAAATCTGATCCCAAATCCGATCCCAAATCTGATCCCAAATTCCAAATCCCATCCCAAATCCCAACCCCTGATCCCAGATCTGATCCCCTGATCCCAAATCCCAAATCCCTTCCTCTGATCCCAGATCTGATCCCAAATCCCCTCCTGTGATCCCAAATTCCACAATTCCAGTGGGAAAATTCCAATGGGAAAATTCCAATGGGGAAATTCCAACGGGAAAATTCCAGTGGGAAAATCCCAATGGGAAATTCCAATGGGAAATTCCAGTGGGGAAATTGGAAAATTCCAGTGGGAAAATCCCAATGGGAAATTCCAATGGGAAATTCCAGTGGGGAAATTCCAATGGGAAAATTCCAAGGGGAAATTCCAACGGGAAAATTCCAATGGGAAAATTCCAGTGGGAAAATTCCAACGGGAAAATCCCAATGGGAAAATTCCAATGGGAAAATTCCAAGGAGGAAATTCCAATGGAAAAATTCCAATGGAAAAATTCCAATGGGAAATTCCAATGGGAAAATTCCAAGGGGAAAATTCCAAGGGGAAAATTCCAACAAAAAAAATTCCAAGGAGGAAATTCCGAGGAGGAAAATTCCAAGGGGGAAAATTCCAATGGGAAAATTCCAACAAAAAAAAATTCCAAGGAGGAAAATTGCGGGCGAAGCTCACGCTGTCGAAGAAGGGCCGGATGCGCACGGCGACGCCGAGCAGCTCCGAGCGCTCCTCGCCCTCCTCCAGGTGCTCCAGGATTTTGGGAATTCCTTCCATGGATTCCAGAGCCAGGAGATTCTCGGGATCGTCGCGGTCGTCCAGCCCGGCCACCAGCGACGCCAAAATGCGGGGAGCGTGGGCACGGAGCTGCCGGGAAAAGAGCAAAAAACGGGAATTCGGGAGGGGAGTTGGGGAATTCCGGCCAGGAATTTGGGGATTTTGGGAATTCGGGAGGGAATTTTGGGGATTTTGGGAATTCGGGAGGGGAATTGGGGAATTCCGGCCAGGAATTCAGGGATCTTGGGAATTTGGGAGGGGATTTTGGGAATTCTGGGTGGGAATTTTGGGAATTTGGGTGGGAATTTGGGGGATTTTGGGAATTCAGGAGGGGATTTGGGGAATTTGAGTGGGAATTTGGGAGGGGATTTTGGGAATTCAGGAGGGGAATTGGGGAATTCCAGGCGGGAATTTGGGGATTTGGGGAATTCAGGAGGGGATTTGGGGATTTTGGGAATTCGGGAGGGGAATTGGGGAATTTGAGTGGGAATTTGGGAGGGGATTTTGGGAATTCTGGGTGGGAATTTTGGGAATTTGAGT